TATTTATTCACCGTTTGATAACGTTACTCAAAAACAAATGATTTTTATTGCTTTAATGAAATATATATATTTTTTTTGTGAATGCATGCTGAGTTAGCCTTTAACTGTAGTGTACTTTGTAAGATCATTGTACATTATGTTGGCTTCCTAATAAAATAAATAAATAAATAAATAAATATCTAAATCGAGAATACAGCACGGTTTCTTTCCTAATTGCCCTAGTTGCGAATTCTATAACTTTTTGAAAGCTAACTTTCACAACTAAACTCGGGAAGCAAACCGCTGTTCAGGTGTCAAGTATTGATGAAAGGAATCCTTTCAGTAGAACTGTCCACAGTTCAGAAGAACGGCACTTTTGAAAACTTTTAATTAATTATAAACTGAAGTAAGCCTCCCCTAACTTTGACAAAGGGAAATAGAACAGTGAGGGTTACACAGTAGTACTCACACTCGGAGGCATAGTGAAAAGTTTTTGGAAAATTTAATGGGGAAAAATCTATATTTCGGTCAGTCAAAACATAACAAAAAGGCCTTAATTAATCATATGAAAGGAAAAGCCAAGTATTGCTGTGCACTAAATATGTAATACCTAGAGGTTTTTAAGTAATATAACATAACAAAGTTGTTTCAATTCCATAACAATTACTAGTGGTCACATTAGACCTTCACGTGTTATAGCTGATGCCAGGTTCTCTATATTTAAACTATAATCGGGAAACATTATTGTATAAACTAAAAAGAAAAAAAAATGTACAAAACATAGTTTATATTATTTTCAAAATCCCATATTTCACCCGCTGTACTTTTACTAATTATTTCATCCTAAATCAGCTTTATCTCAAAACACTAATATCCAGTGAGTCTCAGATCTCTAGTAATTGTTGTCTGTCTTAGAACAGCCACGATACATTTAAGAACACCACTGAAGATGACTTGATACAAACATCTTTAACACTGGTTCAGTGACGCGTTTAACTTACGATAATATTTTAGATAGGTGAGTCAAATAAAACAAAAAGAAATGGATTTTTTTATATATGGTACAGTTGCTATGCAATAAACTAATTTATTGGTTTCCGATATCAATTGTGGGTAAGGTTTCATTATTCTTCGGATGTCGTAATGTTCTAAGAAGTTTCACAAGTCGTTAACCATAACTATCGATGAGATGAAAAACAAATATTACTTGTGAAGACAGGTTTATATATTATTGGACCCTCTCCCTTAATGTGGACGAAATAAAACAATGAATTAATGTAAAAACAATATCAAACACAGTTCACATTAAACAAGGGAAGGCATGACACATCGCTGACGTTAAATAATAATGATGATCAGAAACTTGGTCATTGTAATTAATTATTAATGTATTTCCCAAAGGTAATATTGATTTTCACTATGAAAAAATATTATTTTTAAGAGAATTTAATTTAGAATCATATTACTTGACTAGTCACAGTAACTTTACACTAATTGCGATTGGATGTTCTGAATGGTACTATTATAAACGAACTTCTATTCAAATGTTAAGTCATTATTGTCGATACTCTCGGTTAGTTCACATTTATTTATATTGTATACAAAAGGCACGCGTTCAAAACGTTATTATATAACATTTTGTTAATTTCAAAAGTTTTCTTATTTTTTTTTTAACAAATCCAAACATATCGTCTAAAACAAGCTTATTTGGAATGTCGATTTAATTAGAGCAGAGCAATCTTATATGGGACTTATATCTGACACATGACTACTTCATTTCGCTAATGGTTCCTTATTACATGACGGCCCTAAGAAACATATGTCCAACTTTGCTAGAAAGGATTTCCGTGTTTGTTGAACTACGTGACATAAGACAGGGCTTTATGGAGGATTAAGTTGGTGACACTTTGAAGAAAAGATTTGGTATGAAGACCGCGGCGGTGTAACAAATGTTTTGAAATTATGTTAACCTTTAACTACCGACGTGGGGCCTGTGAGGCCGCGGCGGGTTGACAAGTTGTTAGTTTTACCGCTTCCCCGCGCACGTGAGCCCCGTGCTCATCAGTAGCTGCGAGTTTAGTTGGGCCAACGCCATTGAGTATGGTAGCAGTGCCGGCGAACACAATTTCGGTAAGTTATGTTGTTTTGAATTTACGACGCGGCCTCTCAGGCCCGACGTCGGTACTAACGTTAGTTTTTTGTTTGGGTCATGAATGAAAGTAAATGCTTGTTTTCAGAAATCTACCGGATAATTTGAAGAATGGATGTATCAGGGACATCAGGGGGTAAACGTAGTTTACCTACGGATGAATTACGTTTTTCCAAACGACCACGGCGTCCTATAAATCTCTTGGATGAAAATAACGCGGCGTTGATTGAGACCTTGCTTGCAGAAGACTCCAGCGGAGCGGAGGTAGATGATATCGGAGAAGATAACGTACCAGAAATCAGCGATCCTGAGACAGGTACTGATACTGATATATATGATACTGAAACTACAACTCAGCCATTACTTCAGACGGAAACTATTTCCTGTTCCTTGTCGGATGACGAAGATGTGCCGCTTTCTAGGCTTTGTTATTTTAGAGGAAAAAATAAATATAAGTGGTCAAAACCTCCTCCTAACCTCCTGATCGCGGTATGTTTATAAAGCAGTTAGCTTGACAACTCGTATTAGACCACATGAAGAGAAGGGTGTTAAACTTACGCTTACCTCGTGAACTTCGTATGAGTTTAGAAAGAATACTCGGTCCTGATATGCCAAACACAGAACAAAGTCAAGCAAAAGAAGAAAAAACAAGAAAAATATGTGCCTCTTGTCCGCCTAAATTAAATAGAAAATCTACATATCAATGTTACTCATGTAAAAAACATGTTTGTATACAATGCGCTAAACAAATCTGCCCTAATTGTGACTAACTTTGTTGTTGGACATTTTTTTTATTTTATGAAAACAATTTAAGTTTAATTTTTTTTTTAATAGATATAACATTTAAGTTTAAGAAAAAGGTTCATTTCATGGTTCCTAAGAAGTATTATTTCTTTAATTATTTTTATTTCGTGAAGTGCCATTTTTAAGTTTAGAATCGGTGTCAAAGATTAAAGGTCATATAATTTCAAAGTTTAATAAAGTTTATTATAATAATTGTCATTGTTTTCATTTATAGATCCCAAATTAACGATAAAACTAAAAAAATAGATATCTATTGTACATATTTTCCATACCACACAGTGTTTAATATGCGGCCTCTCAGGCCCCACGTCGGTACTAGTGATACAAAAAAACCACGTCGGTAGTTGAAGGTTAAATACACAGTCAAATGGCTACCGTTCTTATGGACTGTGTTTGGAACTTATTAATCGTGAGTAATGGGATTCCTGTAAGCTACCCTCAAAACACGTTAGATTGAATGGTAGCCCAATCGAATGATTGTATTTTGGCAGGTCGGTATTTAATTTCGAACGTTTCAGTTGCTGTTTAGCATATTTTCAATATTGCTACGTACTCGCAACATATTACAATTTAAATGACCATAGCCGGAGCAACATCATTGTATGGATAAAATATAATACATATAAAAGGTGGTATTAACTCAAACCTGGGTTAGCTCGACAGGGGAAATACCACCCTCTTACAAAAGAAGACTTTGTCCGAGGAGTGAGAGAGTAAGTTGCCCTTTCCTTTTACCCATCTTTTCCTGTCCTTTTCCATTTCCCACCCTTTCCTTTCCCACAAGCATGATGGAGAGAGAGGAAAACATAAGAGTTGTTCTCCGCCACTACGTCCACTGCATCAGAACTGCACTTCATGGTTCCACCCCTGTAGTTTAGACATCGGGTTCGGGATAAAATTTTAAAATCATAATATTCTACTCAAATGTGTACCTGTAAATCGGTGCTATCGAAACTGTCTTCACTGTTAGTGAAGACAGTTTCGATTTTCGACTTATTATAAGTGCCATGGTCAATAGTGGGGTCATGTTAAGTACAGCCACAGGAACAAGGCTGGCAGGACGCCAGCTGCTCGTGTGTGGACTAAACATTACACATACCGTTATACATAATGTGTCATGTTACACTTTACGTCATAGTTATTAGTTGATGTATGATAACTTATATGTATAATCCTAAACATTTTTATTTAAATCTGATAACTTATATAATCCTAAATATTTTTATTTTATTGTAAATTGTCATACTTTTATAATATTATGTTTTTAAATATCAATTACTTTAATCTATATGATATATTGTATATTGTTCTTTAAAGCATATTTAAAGAACGACATTTCAATAGTTTAACTTAATTAAGTTTGCACTTACCTAAATGTCAAAAAGTAACATATTTCGATATGTCAAATGATCAACATTTTATCTTGTGTATAACTTTAAATATTGTGCGATCATGAAAATAACTTTTAAATAATAATTTCATACAAATACGCAATCTGTCGATTTCATACAAAGTAATGAGAAACGGTGTTTGAAAAAAATCTTATATCTAAGCATATATATTTTTCATCATTATTATGTCGTATGTATCGTGACGACACCCATAATGATAAGAAGATATCGCATGTTAGAGATCAGTTTAATTTAATATAAATCTATTTAAACAATATAATTGACACTGACTTTTAGGTCGATTCCTCCAAATTATAAATAATAATTTCAAATGACTAAAAAAATTGCTTTGAGACGAAGAGCACTCCCAACACGGCGTGGATATTTAAAATAAAAAAGTATATATATTTTTAAGTTCTAGTATATATAATTTCTTTTACTCTACGTTTTTATTAATATTTCGCTTAATTTAATAAGTTATAAATAATCATAATTACTCGACCTCTTAATTAATGTTATCAATTTAATCACGGGCCACATATAGACAGTATACAACGTTATCAAATCTTCTTATTCATACTCATTTTAATCTTCGAAGCTGCACGACCCTTGTGTTTAGTTTTACAAAGTATTGTTTAAAAACCTATTGCTTTATAAGTTTTAAATATAAAATTAATATGGCCAAGACTATAGTGATAACTATTTTAGTAGTTCTGTGTTTGTTACTGGAAGTTCAGTGTGGTTGGGGTCCCCTTTCATACCCTTATGTATCGGACTACCCTTGTGTAGGAACTAACAGTATTGTTAGTTTTTTTGAGCCCGGAGTGTCTTCTAAGGCCAAGACTCGTTATTCTGTGTCCATAAATGAAACATTCCCGACTAATTCCTCAATTCAAATTGCATTTGATTCAGAAGCTTACGTCACTTTGCTTGTAAAAACGGTTGGTAAAATTCTTTCATCTTTTGATTTTGATTATTACATAAGTTAATAATCTCAAAATATTTTAGGATGATAAAAAATTTAGTAGAGTAACGATGGAACCCGGTGTGATGTTTGGATTCTTTTACTTTGTACAAGAAACTGGCTTTAATTTTGTAGTAACTTCCTACGTCCCTGGAATAGTTCCGTACATAACCAGCGTTAAAATCAACGATGAAGAATATTGTCGGTATCCAAATGTGGTAAGAATAATTTTATAACAAAATAGTAGCAGAAGCTGTAGGGAAGTAATGGCGTTAAGTTTGACAAGAGAATTTACGTGAGATTTTTGTTGAAATCTTTTGAGGTTGAGGAGCTCACTTCCAATAACTAATATGTCTGTACATTCAAATACCAATGATCTTTGATAAAGATTAAAAAACATGCCAGAACCAGTGAATAAAGAAATTTATAGCCCAATGACAGGGAGATTTTATAAAACATTTTGATGTATAGTTATTTAATACAAAAATAAATAAATATTTTCTACATATCGTAGGGATTCTTAAACCAATATGTTGTTGAAACGTTAATAAACGACGAAGAAAAGAACTGCGGCCGGCGTCAAGTGAGAGGCACACAGTTGATGGTTAATGGCGCTAACACTAAACCCGGGGACTGGCCATGGCACGTGGCTATTTATAAACGACAAAGAAACATTATTAAGTATATCTGTGGAGGAACTCTTGTATCTAAGAATTTTGTATTAACAGGTAAACAATCTTTATATAAAAAGAAATCTTACATTTAAAAGAGCCTAAAGTAGGTTTTTGGGCAATGAATGTTATTTTTTAAAAGGGTAGTATTTCATTTATTAGCCACTAAATATGAAGAAGAAGAAGAATAGTATAATATCACAAAACTACTCAGTACGTTGCTGTTGTTTATACATACGTAGATGATTTTCGTGGTAGCGAACTCGTTATACTTATTGATCTTGAAGGCTTGGTTTTTGCAGATGTTATTATTTCACGGAACCATAAGCTCTATTAATACAATGCGCTTTAAAATTCACAAATACAGAAATATGTCTGGTCTGGACGCCCACTTACAAATATCCTCTGGGATTTTAAATTGTTTCTCATACGTATCCATCATTATAGTCCAACATATAGTTCAAACAAAAACTTTCTTTACAAAAAAATATTTCTTCTTTATAGAACTTTCGATGCTATACTTTTTTTTTTTAAATTACTTTCTACACTCAGGTTACTCAGTAATAAGTTTTGGTTTTCATATTTCCAGCTGCTCACTGTGTGTCCGTGAGGGGTTCTGCCTTATTGCCAGACGTAATAAGTGTTGTCCTTGGGAAATACAATTTATTTGGAGGTGATTTTGGGTCTGAAGAAAAGGAGGTTGGTAAAGGTTTGTCTCTAAGCATTTGACATATTTCCAATATAATATCAAATGTCTTCATATGGTTATAATAATACCTAATGAAAATTCTTTTATGCTCATAATAATTCAATTGGTTTTAGGTTCATAGGATAATAATGCACCAAAAATTTGAACACAGAACTCTAAACAACGATATAGCACTGATCGAGTTAAATACAGAAGTAACATTTACTGATTACATTCAACCATCATGTTTGTGGTATAAGAAGGCGATTAAAAAATTACCAAGCAACCACATCATGGGAACGGTAGTGTATAAATTATATTTAGTTTTTCAAAGGACTGATATAAGTATAAAATATTTTTAATATCCTTTATATTGTTATAATTATGTATGTTTTTATGTACTTCAGGTTGTAGGATGGGGTTTTGATAACAGTGGAACTCTTTCGCGCACACTTAAACAAGCTAAGATGCCGATTGTCTCGGATAACGACTGTATCAAAAGTAGACCCTTGTTTTATGCGAACATTTTGAATGGAAATAAATTTTGTGCTGGATTTCATAACGGTGATCATTATTTTACTTTTCCCATTAAGTAATCAAGAAGATAATCTAAAGTGGAATCAAAATTTTCATTCTCATATTATGCTTAGCGATGAAGAGGTATAGCAATTTCATAAAATTATTTTCATACGTAATTAGTTGTATATGTATTTAATTGTAGGAACATCTGCTTGCAACGGTGACAGTGGTGGATCACTTGTGGTGTTTGTACCAGATACGGCTGAGGATAGCGATCCAAGAGCTGAAGGAACCTGGCATGTTAAAGGCATTGTATCAATGACACTATCTCAAAAAGATGTACCGATATGTGATCCGGAACAGTACGTAGTGTTTACAGACGTTGAGAAATACAGAGTGTGGATAAAAAGCTACATCAAAGAAAAAGAAAATGAAAATGTTATATAAGAAATATATTGAATACTAAATTGTATCAAACAATAAAAAAATGTATTAAAAACTTAGGATTTGACTAGTTTTATTGTGCAATGATGATACAACATTAAATTGCATTTTATATATTTTTAAGCGAAAAAAATATTACTTAACTTATTTGGCAGAAATTATAAAAATTGCTGCCAAATCACCTGCAGGCTTTTAAAATAATAATTTGTTGCCTATATTTTATAACTGAAACATTACTGGAAGTAACTCTGAACATTAAAACAAACCTGAAACTGTACCTCGCGCTGAAACTTTTTACGTAGAGACGATTATTTTGTAGTTCTTTTCTCATGTGATTTTTGACCACAGTATACTTTATTGATATGTTAAGTTAAATTTAATAAAATTATTATTCTCCTTGTATATATCACGTATACATTGCAAATATAAGGAAGAGTGTAATATGTCAAGTATAAACTTTAGAATCGCAATAATAATAATTATTATTATTAACTCTCTTGAAAGACACAAATAGACCATTAAATTAAATACTAGTCTAGACACTCGTTTTCGATTATTTTTTACAATTTACTTAATTTATGTTTTTTATACAATGTATACTGTATTACTGACTCTGAAGTCCTCCACCAGAATTAATTTAGTTGATAGGTTGCTAAAATGACTTATAACGATTAAGGAGTATAAGAAAAATGGTGGATATTTTGTACGTTACTTAACAGTATATCTTTATTAAAATTTTAAAAATAAGTATTTTTAAGGTGGTAGAGCCTAGCTGTGGTGAGTTACTACAGCTCAAACATCGGCTGGCTCGACCGAGGAAGTACCACCCTCTCACAGAAGATCGGCGTGAAGTAGCCTTTACTAGCTGCGTTTCGTCTGATGAGTGAGAGAGCCGGTATTATATAAAAATTATTGCATATTCGATTTCAAACTGACGTCTAATTTCTTAAGGATATTTACAATAATCAGTCCATGAAGGTGTTCTGCTCTCAAATAAATTGTAATATAAAATACTATTATTTAAAACAAGTTACAAATTTATATGAGCACCATTAAAATAATTGAAATTTCAGACTCATGCAATGTGATGTGAATGAAAATCGTATCATTTTAGGGTTGTGAAAATTACACCCGGTTTATATTTTTACAATTTCATATACATATTTATTGTAACAAATGTCTGAAATTTTAATTCTATGGTGTGTTTTATTCTAACACTCCACATCATTAAAAAATATATGAAGCAAAGAAGTTCTGGTTCTCCAATAAAAAAAAACGGAATACAGGAATAAAAGGGTGCATTGGTAATCACAATTTTCAAAGTATATCCTACAAAATACTTAGGGGCTTCCTACTTAAAGCCTCGACTCAAAACTGATAAGATGACACATCTATACAAATGTTTTTATTTCCAATATGTTAATTAGTTACTTGATAAATATCGTTCTCGTAGGAGAAGTCATGGATAAAAGCTTGTTTGTCATAAAAAGCAAAGCGACATCCCTGGTGCGGCATGTTCTCCCATGAGAAATGTAGATGTAATATTATTTGGCCCAGAAATCAAATATATGTTATTTTATTATGAATGCAAAGCCTCACATCAATTATAATTTTTCTATACTATTAAATTTTATTCTAATGTAACTTGATTTGATTATAAAACAAATATTAAAAACTTTAGTTTACATAAAAACTGAAAACAAAAACATATAGCTGTACACTTCTATAGCTGTTTTGAAGTATAAATATAACGTCTTTGTTGCAGGAAGTTTAAAATTATAAACACAAAAACCGACCACTTCTTTTGATTGACATAAACTGTAGTCATAAATTCTTGTTCTTCATATTTCTTCAAATACCTCATTGTCGTTTTGGTAATTTAATCAAAATTATGTTTCTTTCACAACAAGCTATCATTCATTTTCCTAAACTTTTTATGAACCAAATAACTTGTGGTAAAATTTAAATAAAACTAAAAATAACACTATAATATCTCTTAGTACTTCAACAGGCTTACGAGTTTAATAGAAAAGCTGTAGAACATAAACGAGGTCGATAGTGTTCATACAACTTGGAAGAAGCTACTTGACAAAGTTGATTATAGAAGCCAGGATAGTTGTCACTATAAGCTGGTGATGGTTCAGGAACGTACTAGAAGATAAGTTCCAAATACTGCTGTAAAGGGTGCGATATTAAAATAAACGAAGCAAATATTTCTTTCTTCACGCCTTAGATTCGTAGACATAATAATGATGAATAATAATAAACGTTGCAAGATATATGAATACAATAGATGCTGGATATTTAGATAAAACTAAAATCATGGAGTTATTGTCCTAACTTGAGTCTGTCTCAAATTTGTCTTCAAGGCCTTTTCAATAGTGAACTGATAGCTAGTAAGAATGTTTGTGAGTGGAAAAAAAATTTACGGTTTTTCATAATTTTAATGTTGGAATTCATATATATTCTATACAGAATTTAATATGCTTTTATTGCGTATATTTATTCTTCTGTCAGGCCATTTTCCCAGCTTTAGCCAGGGTCTGCCTTACATGATGTGAATACTTTTAGCTAATTGTTTTAACGACTGGCCGCATGCCTGACATCAACCCTCTTTGGGAATGCATTAATCAGTGATGTCTAAACGCTCTTTGAAAGTACATATGACTCAGAAAAATCACATTGGTACTTGCCAGGATTGCACCCGCGCCGTCGAACATGGGAGGCGGACCTTTTAACCACTAGGCCACCACTGATTTATTATTTATGGATTTCTACATTTTTTATATAATAACAAACTATATAAAATCTTTTTCCTTATAATCCTTGTACTTCTATGTTCTTACTTCAGTGTGATCATGTTCACATATTTCATATAAGTTCATTAAATAAACTTAAGTTTCAAAGTAAATAATCTCCCAAAACTTCCGTAGCGGAAATTTAACGAAGTTTGACATTATGCTCGATCTAAACTTTACTGAACTAATTAAACTTATCAATATTTACCATGCCTTTAATATATTCAATGTATCTACAACAAATGTAAAATGCTAATAAAGAAATAATTCACATCAAAAAACCTAAGATAGATAGGACAGATGTGAATGTTCTCTTCAATACAATCTATAGCCATATCAAATTTACATTACGAAATCTACAGAAATATTAAGTTCTTCATCATTCTTATATTGATGTAGACTGTAGGCTCTTCTAGGTAGGCTCGTTACCAGATAGGCATCTTATTGCCAACTTAATCAGGGTTCTATAAAAAATCGAAAAACATAAATCACCAACTTCGATAGGTTAAAAAGTGGTATTGATAAAATAAAAATAAAATTTATTACTTCGTAAATATAAAAAATAAACATTTTGTTATTTAATATTTTCATCATTTCTTGGTCACCTAGGTATCTTTGTGAACTTGCCATATTTGTATATTCATATTTAAGCAAAAATGTTTTAATATTTTGAATATTTTTTCAAAATATTGCTTATGTGTTACCGTTCTTCTTAATATAAATTGTATTAAAAAGCTATCATATACTTAAGTACGAGTATTAATACTAACACCAAATCTTAACAAAATCTTAATAGCCAGAACTTTTAAAGGATACATAAATAGTGTTTAAGATGATATCCCGGGAATATTCAGTAAGTAGCTCGGTTCTATTGTTATTTATGGCCGGTCTTTTGTAGGAATTACTCTGTCGAGTGTCGTAACGACACGTTAACCACCAGACCTTGTTTACTACATGATAAACACTCGACGACTACTGCTCACTATATCATTATTATGTACTTTATAGAACTTTTTATTTGAATAGTTTAAACAGTTATCAATAAATAACAAGACAGTCTTATGCCTGTATTTTAAACATTTAAATATTAAACTTTTATATTTTACGAAACAGTAAATTCATTAGTTTTATGACAGGAACAGTAGGTTTTATACCAACTACTAAAAAATGTAGAGAAGGTAAATAAAATTGTCTAAGTGAGAAATTTTAAAGTAATTCTAAATAAAATTTATTGTGATAATAACAATAAGAATGTGTAGTACTTTTGCATTCTTTCCACAACTGTAACATTCATTGAACAAAAGTAAATAACGACGTTCTAGTTAAATTAATAATAATTACACATATGTGAACAAATTTTAATAACATTTAGCATGAATTAATAATAATAAAAAGTTCAATGACACGCAATGATGAGATGTAATCGTCTATTTTGATTTACTGTTTCTCTTCAAATAAGTTCTCTGATAGAGATCGCTTCAACGCAACAGTAAATAAAAATATCCTTTTGATTTTTGTTTATTATTTGATACATTTTGTTTGTATTGACTTCATTCAATATAAGTAATAAAATAAGTAAGACATGTTTCCCATTATAGGAGTCTGTAACAGTTTTCTTTCCTTTTTATTAAGTAATTGGAGGATTATTACGTTAGTGCCTTTTAAAATTAATGTACAATAAATATGCTAATATATGTAATTTTCTCAAGTATATATTTTATTGAGAATCTCACAAGTTAAGATTTTAAAAAATTACTTCTCACTAAATTAACAATAACTATATAAATACATATATATTCTTAATCAATGTTAAAGTTTTAAGAAACAATCATTTCTATAAGCGATGAATGTCTAATGATGTATATTTTGTTACATGTATGAAACTTTATATTGTACATAAAAGAACATTGACCAAAATCTGGTTATTGTATCTATCATACTTTAGATAATAATTCTTATAATTATTACGATAAGGATTATTTTTGAAAACTTTTTCGTTTTAGTTTGTTTTAAAATTTATTCCATCATCTCTGACAGTCAATAAATTTTAATTACTATCAAAAGTATAAAGTATATACCTCATAATATACATTAGTTAATTTCCACTTTCAACCATACTACATACTGCAGTAACATAGCGGTCAGGGGGGCTAGTACTCGTAACATCTCTTTGTGATTTTTATCCGCATTCATTACTTGTAGAAC